GCATCTGGTGATCTTGTACCTCTTATCTATTATAAAACAAAACTACTGTACATTGCTGTCAATGTGGTGAATATGTGAGGAAGAAATAGATTGTAAAAGATCAGATGTTGATCATAGCAGTACCAGCATTTGACAAGCTTCTTGTTCAGTATTGGAGTAGAGTGTAACAGTGATGCTGAAATGCAGAAAAACATCTAGTGCCACAAAGGGTAGTTAAAATGGCAATGGAGTATGCCAGTGTTATCATTCATCATCCATGTCTGTCTACTAAATATAGAAAGGAATTTAGGTAAATAGTTCTAAAAAGAGCTGCATTTTGTTAAGAAGTTTCATTGAAACCATATTTGAGCTGTTATGTTGAGTAAACAGTATTTTTCAAAGGAAAATCAAATTATTTTTTTAAATTAGTTATAGTAAATTCCAAACAGGAGTAATTTGAAATTTCATTTTGCTCTTTAACAAAAGTAGGCTATTCAGTTTGCTTTAAATAGTCTTCAGTGTGCCATAGAAATGAAAGGTGAAGTTCTTTTTTTTTTAGTTGTTGTGATTGGTTTAGTTGTTCTGGTCCTACAGGAAAATTATCAGCTCAATGGAGTTTCAAACTTCATCCCTAATCTTTGAAGCAGTCATTTAGGAGTTTAAATACCACACAAAGAACATAGATTATAGATTAAAGTTAGGATAGTTTATGAAATGAAACCTAAACACTAAATAGAATTGCTATCTTGGTATATGGGTTTGAAATATTTATTATTATATTCTGCTTCTAGGTAGCACATTATTCAAGAGTATGTTGATACTGCTTAAAAAGTAGAACACCACATCATGGAAGTCAACATTAAAGTAGTTTTTCTCTCTTTGAACTAGAGCAGAGGTTCCAGACTTTTTCTGTAAAGGGACAATAGTATATATTTTAGGCTTGGGGTCATAGTAGTTTCTGTTCCAACTACTCATCTCTTCCATTGTAGCTCAAAAGCAGCCGTACCACAGTACGTAAAAATAAATGATACGGCTATCTTTCAGTAAAACTTTTTAAAACAACTCGCAGTGCAATTTGGCTCTTGGACCTTAGTTTGTCAACTCTTATTCTAGAGAATTAATGTCTATGCTACTTTTTTTTATTTTTGTGAGACATGTCTCACTCTGTTGCCCAGCCTGTATACAGTGACATCATCATAGCTCACTGCAACTTCAAACTCCTGGGCTCAAGTGAGCCTCCTGCCTTAACCTCCCATGTAGCCAGGACTACAGATGCATGCTACTATGCCTGGCTAATTTTTATGTTTTTTGTAGAGACAGAGTTTTGCTGTGTTGCCAGGCCGTCTTGAACCATGATCTCAAGTGATCCTCCTCAGGCTTCCAAATGCTGGGATTACAGGCATGAGACACTGGGTTTGTTTATGCTACTTTTTTTTTTTAAAGGAGGAAATACTAGTATTGTTAGTAATCTTTTAAATATTTTATCTTCCCTTTTAAATGGTAAGTTCTTTGGAAACAGGGTCCACATCTTTTACTTCTTTGTCTTCCCCATATCATTTAATACAATGCCTTACACCATGGCAACTGTAATAAATGTATCTGTTTTCCCTTTGAGTCCACTCTGATAATAAGAGCTGTTTCCATTTGTGGAGCATTTTATAGTTTAGAAAGTACTTTGACGTAGGTTTCTTGTCTGGTTCTCACAATAGCCTCAGAAGAAGAAAGATAGAGTAGATGTGCTTACCATTCTCTAGACCATGTAGCTGAAGCTCAGGAAGTTAAGTGATTCTCCAGTTTATATAGTCTAGTAAATGGCAGGCAAAGATTTGGTCTGCTTTCTATTATGGTAATGAACTGTGATCTTTAACTTCTAAAATAGAAGATGCTCATTTTTAGTCTGTTTTTGCTCAAACTGTTGAATATCCTGCAGTGTTCTTGCTTCATTTTAGAATCTTAGCTAAATTTTCTATTGAGTTTTAAATACTCAGTTTAAGATTTAGCATTCAAATATTCCTACTCTTTTGGCACAGAAAAGAGTCATTTCTGTTCTCTGTTCTCAGGAGACAGATCTGAGCTATACAGAATTAGAATAGATTTTTTTTTAAGCTTATAGATAAAACTATCCCATTCTTCAGTTTTCAGAGGAGAGCTGGTCTTTCATGCTCTCTGAGCCCTCAGAATATTAGTCTGTAAACCTTTTGTTTGGCTACAATGGACTTGTATCTATACTTAACATGCTTTGTGTTCTCTTTGCTGAGATACTTTATTCTTACTACAGAAGTGAAATTTATCTTTTAAAACCCTGCCAGTGGCAGTTACATAAATAACTAGATAATATACATAAGTAATGTATACATTAAGTAAAAATTTATTAAGCTGTATAATTTTGATTTGTAGTCGTCTTCTTCTTTTTTTTTTTTTTTTTTTTTTGAGACAGAGTCTCACTCTTTTGCCCGGGCTAGAGTGCTGTGGTGTCAGCCTAGCTCACAGCAACCTCAAACTCCTGAGCTCAAGCAATCCTTCTGCCTCAGCCTCCCGAGTAGCTGGGACTACAGGCATGCACCACCATGCCTGGCTAAGTTTTTCTATATATTTGTAGTTGGCCAATTAATTTCTTTCTATTTTTAGTAGCGACGGGGTCTCGCTCTTGCTCAGGCTGGTTTCGAACTCCTGACCATGAGCTATCCACCCGCCTCGGCCTCCCGGAGTGCTAGGTGTATTCTTCTTTTAAAATAAAGCTATACCTCAATTTTTAATAATTATGAAAAAAAAGCCCAATTTTTACCTTTCTCCAAAGGCTTCCCCCCACCTCTCCAACTCACTGCTTTTCTCACTTAAATGTAGCTTTGTAAAAAAGTAGCCAGTATTGTCTAATTGGCATTATGACTCTGGAGTCCAAACTGGTAGGGTCTGAATCTCAGTATTGCTGCTTAGCCTCTCAGTGCCTCAGTTTCCTTATCTGTGAAATGGAGATAATTAGGGTACCTACTTCATAGGACTGTGAGGATTAGATGGGATAATACATGGAAAGTACTTAGGATGGTGTCTGCTATGTAATAAGCATTCAAATGTAAGCAGATGTTAATTTTTAAATTTAGGCTTCTTAGTTGCTTTTGTACACTGCCTCAGCTGATGCCTGATAACATGTCTGTCATTCCTGTGGCCATAATTAATGATGACATTTGCATGTCTAATGTTAGGTGCAGTGTCCCACTGGGAATGTTGATGGCCCACATTTTGATTTTCTGTACAATTCTTGTTTCATAATTAGTCCAATTTTATGTATTTTACAAATGAATGGTGTGCCAGAATTTTAAGAAAAATGGCACATTCTGTACCCTGTTATTTATTGTATTTTATTTAGGAACATGACTTGGTTTCATAGAAAGGATGAGGCACTAGAAATTGGGAAACGTGGATTTTAGTCCCAGTTTTGCCATTCATTAGTTTTGTGTCATTGGGCACCTTGGCCTGTGTGTCCATATCTGTAAAGTGACGTGTTAAGGTGTCTATTATCATCTTTGAGGCTAATTTTTTTTGTTCTCATATATGTGTGAGGAGACATTTACTCAGTGTCATGATCCCTGTAAGATAGTTTAAGCGATTTCCTTGATATAACTGATTGCTTTATGTGAAAATTATTACTTTCTCTGTTTTCAGCTTCGGGCTCAGAATCAGGTCCTGAAAAAAGGTGTTGTGGATGAACAAGCAAATTCTGCTGCTTTAAAGGTATGCAATAGGGTATTTGTATTGTGAGGGTTAAGTTAGTGTTTGGTGGTGCTCAAAGCTGGGGATTCAGCTGGTTTTCTGGGTTAAAGTCCCAGCTCTGACACTGATTCACTAGGGGTAGAAGGATGGCAGTACAGGTTTTGTCGTTAACTTTCTTAGGTGTGAATATGATGTGCTTTGATTTCCATGGTTAAAAATTACCAAAAAAGTATGATTTGACTTTATCTAATTTCTCCTATACTTCAAAACCTTTGTTTGGCTCAGTTCATCTGGACTAATGGGGCTCCTTGTCTGTCGTCATCACTAGAGAGCACTCTGAGGGAGGCTATGTCATATTCATATTTGTATCCCCAGCACTCAGCAGATGGTAGGGCCCTAATAAATGGATTTGAATGTGTGAATCATTTCCATTAATCTTCCCTTTAGTTGAGCTACTTAATAGTAATCATCTATGTTAATCAGGACACTCCAAGTGATACATTTTATCATCAGCACCTTTGTTAACTGAGGGGAGAAATATGATAGGAGATGAAGGAATTGGTGTGTAACTCATTCCAGTAGGCATGTAATAAATATTGCTTTGTGATATTTTAAATGGATACATTAATTCTAGGGTATGGATTCCTTCTTGGCCAAGTTTCAGTTAAATATACTGCCTACCTCACTCTTTCACTTTCTCTCTTTCTTGTTCCCTCTCCTCTCTTTAGACTGATGGGATTAGGATTCCTTTTACTCTGATCTCTTTCTGGAGTAGCCCCCAACCAGGGATTTATCTTAGGTGGCTCCACTCAGATAACTAAGCCCCAGAAATACGTCTTTTTACATAGCCAGTGTTGGTCCCTACATTAGGAAAATATGTCTCTGAGACTGTTGTCCTCAGGCGCTGTTACCACAGTCTCAGGGCTGAGATGATTCAGAACACCCCACTCATACTTCCAAAGCTCTTTGTACCCAAGCCAAAGTTATTAAAAAAGCTTTCTAGTCAGGATTTGTTAGTCACATTACTGTTTTATCAAAAATGCTGAAGAGAAAACGTGAAGATTGGACTGAGGAGATATTTTGAAAAAAAAAAAAAAATGCTGAAGAAATCATCACCAGCTCTCCTAATAATGGGGAAGGTATTTCCTAGCTTATTGTAGTAGCCTGCTCTGGCTCACTTTGTTGCCCAGGCTAGAGTGAGTGCCGTGG